AGGTGGTAAAGTGGCCAAGAAACCGAAATGAAATTTGTAGTTTTTAAGAGAGGGAAGAATCCTGACACTAAAAGTAATTAACACTATTGTATTTGCAAAAAAACATACTATTTAATTGTCTGCGAAAAAAATTCTATCCTCTAAAAAGTTAGCTCTCAATTTAATATTCGGATGACACCTTTAGATATTTTAATGAATAGCCTTTGAAAAACCCCATCATTTCAGAACGTTCAGTGAAACAAAGTACCTTCAGAATCAGAACTATTCGAATCTGAACGTGATGAATTGGATGAGCCACTTTTTGACGAACTGCGATCCCTTCTTCTCTTTTCCGACGTGTTCCTATCGGTCTTCTTTTCGCTTTTCTTCTCCCCTCCATTCTTGGAACGTTCATGCCTGGATTTTTGCCGTTTCAATGCTGTTTCACTTTTGAATTCTTCTGGATCCGAAGGAATTGGTTCACCATCGACGTCGTCACCAGACGAACCGTGGCGGCGTTTTTTCGACATACCCTACAATTTCTAGAAAATATTCATGAGTAAAACCACATATCCTATCCCTTAATTTAACACCGAAGTGATCACAGACAATGAAGGAAGTAATTCATCACCAAATTAAATTAGTGAAGTTACTGCGCAGAAAAGAAGTATAAAATTCCTGCAATATGCACAACAATTTCAAGGACGGCTTTTTGGCATCAAAAATTAGGCTCAATAAAGTGAGAGAAGAAATGAAACATGCGCTCAACTTTGAGGTGGTGACAGCGTCCAAAAAAAAAGAAAGAAGCTAGAACGATGGTTTAGGAATAACTCTTTAAGGAATCCTGAAACTACAGCAAAACTATGAAAAATTAGTAACAAATAGATTAGAATATTTTGAAAGTTCAAACGAGCGAAGAAACGCTCCGATGCGCCGCTGCCAAAGGGACAAGAGGCGGACTTTGAGGTTGTAATGAGAATCTACGTCGGGAATAATTTGCTATCTAGTAGAAAGTTTTTATGTGAGAATTTTCTCCCAATAGTTGGAGAAAATGCAATTCTCCGAATGCTAAATATGATCGATAAGCGCTATGTGTTACAATTTTTCGTAGAGATTGGTCACATCAAATTTTAGCGGGGCTTTAAAAATTTGCGACAGAAGATTTAGAGCTATTTTGAGTCTTACTCAGGTAATAAGACATAAGTTTTTTGAACGGAAGGACAATAGTACAAAAATGGGAAGAGCTCTGGACGGAAATAGAAGAATTGGATGTTTTTTTTTTACAGACGACTATGACAACCTTCAAAAAATCTTGAACTAATGTGCAAGTTTGCAGAGATGAGCAACCTACCTTGATGGTCAAATCTCTAATGAAAATTTCGTACATGGATCTTAAATGAACTATCTCCTTTCAAAACACTGTCTAAGAATATAACGACGATTACCTGCCAAAATACATAGAGAACTA